ACTTCCGGAGATGAGGGGGGGGGGGACCATTACTGAGGAAAGGCATAAACATAGATATATACATAGAAAGACATGTCAATTTTCTCAACATTGATTCATAAATTCAATAAAATCTCTCAAAAATAGTACAATAGTTTGTGGTTGTTTTTCTGCATTTCAATCAAGGTATTTCTAAAGCACACATGGAAGTGTGAAGGGCCAGGAACATCCTAGAATGATGAAGAAGCAGGCAGCAGTTCTGTGATGGTACCTTGCTTGTACAAATAAAGCGTGTCTGAAGATCATCGGAAGGAGCTAGCCACTAGCTAACCATAGAGGTCAGGAGGTCAGTACAGACAGGCAGGAAGCGAGACGGCTGGGCTCAGAGAGGATGTACGGGGAAGAAACAGGAACTTGATCTCTTTCCCGCTGGGAAGTGAATGAAGTAAAGGTGGCTTCCGCTTGCTCCTTGTCTCTGAACTCTCAGCATTTTCCTCTATGTCTGACTCTGGGTTTTTACTATTTAGACCAATTAAGAACTCCATTTACACAGTCTTCCCATAGTAGGAACTTACTTTAATGCTTTTCTAATTCAGACAGTGGAATAGAGAGATAGAAATAGACTGATGAATTAAAAACTGCAGAAAAACAAAAGTTATTCAGTAGATAAAACACTTCAGAGCAGTAAGACAGTTCCAGTAAGGTAAGAACCTGAATGGTTCTGGAACTTTCATGGTGGGAGGAAGGGAACGCAACACACAGGACTGGATCCCAACCTCACACCACACACAAAAATGTAGTCTATGCAAACCGAGGACTTGTCAAAGGTAAAATTCCAAAGCTTTCGGGAGATAAAGTAGATTATCTTCATACTACTGGTTTAGGAAAGAATGCCTTAAAAAAGAATACCTTAAAAATAAACAACATTAAAAGAAAAGATAAAACTGAAAAATTATACTACAGTGACATTAGTCTCTCAGCCAAGACACTATAATGAAAATAAAAATATAAGAATGAGAAATTATTTATGAAACCATAACCAAGAAACGGCTTAAATTCAAAAATGTATAGAGATGTGTACACACATGTTTATAATATACATAAGTGCTACAAATACATATAGACAGAAAATGAAATAAGAAAATGAACAAGAGAATGGAACACAAAGAAATTTAAACTACAGTAAACATGTAAGAAAGCATTTAATAATCAAATGATCAAAACTTCTAACAATACTAAATGCTGACAAGCAAAGACACTTTACACAGTCCAGTAGGAACATAAAGCAGCCTAATTGGTTTGACATCATCTAGTGAAATTAAAGTCACACTGCTCTAGAAGCACAGCCAGGCTACTCCTGAGTTAAGTCTTGGTGAAGTATCCAAACTTTTTATGTCAGAGTCAAAAACTAGGAACAACCCACATGGCCACTAACAGTACAATGACAAATGACTATGATACAGTCTGTTGCAGAATATTTGTACACTGTGTGAAGATGTGTTACCGTGATTGGTGTGATAAAAAGCTGGATGGCCAATGGCTAGGCAGGAGAGATAGGTGGGGCTTCCTGGCAGAGGCAAGATGAGAAGACACCACTGAGAGGCGGAAACAAGGAGGACACACAAAATGGGAGAGAGGTAAAAGTCACATGATAGAACGTAGATTAACAAAAATATGTGTTAATTTTCACTGTAAGAGCTAGTGGGACAAACCTAAGCTAGTCTTCATGCCATTATTCGGGAGTTGGGTGGTGAGAGAGAGGACTTGCTACAACAATCCTTTAATGGAATGTTATGAAACAATGATAATCAACTAACTACAACAATAGGTGATAATAAAGATCATGTAACAAACATAATAATGATTTTGAAAGGGAAAACACAGAATATACTTAAAGATTCTCTTTTTAAATGTTCAAACACAGAAAACTAAATTTATATTTAGAGATGTACATCTAGATGCTAAACAACTATACAGCAAATAAATAAATAACTTAAGAGTCTGAGGTGCAACAGAATTTCTTGACCCTGATGCTATCAATGTAAACTTACTTAATTAACTGCTAAATACATACACATGTTTCTGTATTTCTTCCACTACTTGGCTTCCACTATTTCAACAGTTAAAACAGTTTTCCCAACATGCCACTCAGCTCATATTTTTATGTTACTTTTGTGTTTTTATGTTACTTTTGTGTTTGTTTCTGATAAGATAATGTGAAGGAAGTTACATATATTCATTTACATCCACTCATACTACATTAAAAAGAAAACAGCCTTAACATGGTGATGATTTTACAAGCATGCAAGTAACTGTGTGAGAACAAAGGTCTGAAACTATATGATGCAAAGCTTCTCTAAATACACTAAGTACACAAAAACACAACATGATTTCCTAGCTACAATGTAATATTTTAATAGTCCCCAATTTCCATAAGCAAATGGGAGCTAGAATCAAGTTTTAAAACAGCTGTCTACTGCACACTACCACACATAGTAAGTAAGGTATGACAGCTTTCATCCCACAAAAATAACTTTAGTTTCCCTCACATAAATTTACAACTTCCACATAATCCTGAAACAACTTCTGGAAAGGGGAAAATACGGACAAAAAGTCAGATAATCTTAAATTTAAATTTTTGTTTAAAAAAACAAAACCAAGGGCTGGAGAGATGGCTCAGAGGTTAAGAGCACTGACTGCCCTTCCACAGGCCCTGAGTTCAATTCCCAGCAACCACATGGTGGCTCACAACCATCTGTAATGAGATCTGGTGTCCTCTTCTAGCGTGCAGACACATACATGGAGGCAAGATGTTGTGTTCATAATAAATAAATAAATTAAAAAAAACAAAAACAAAAATCAAACTCATGCCTGATTCTTCAAAAGAAAATGCAAAGAACGTGTACTCTTTAATATCATTGTAAAACACAATCTTTAAGCTCAAAGGAATTATGCTAGGCAGTTTGTAATGTTTGTAATGTTGAACTACATAAAGCCTTAAAATTTTCAGGAAATTTCAGCTGCAGTTGCAATGGAATTTGATTATACATGACCCTTTGCACAGCAAAGTCGTACAATCTGCCTATGCCATAGAAATAGCTTCTTATCTTTCAGGTCCCTTTTCCTCCCATACCACATTTTGCTTCTATGACCTCTACAGATAATGACAGTAATTTCTAGTATTTATTGAACCCCTTCTGGGTGTCATATACTTTCTACATAGTTATGCTACAAATACTAAGAAGTAGGGCTTCCAATGAGGGAAGTCAGTTGCTGAATAAATAGATAACTTGCCCAAGGTCAGACTGCTGTGTGGAAGAGCAAGAAATATTCTGGTACAGGAGCCCATGCTCTTGATCCTGTGCTGTTTTCTATTCGATGAAATGTCTTCACACCATGATCACTTGCCCCCTTCCCACTACAAGCTCCAGGCACTTTCTGGGTTTATCTTTGCCTCTCCTCCGTAACTGCATACTCAGAGGACAGTAACAGGTGGAAAGAGTCCAAGGAACATTAAAGGGAGCCTACGGTTTTACAACCAGGAAAATAGAAGTTGGAAGAGGTGACTATTTTGTCCATGAACACCAAGCTGGCTCTGATAGTGCACTAAACAAGTCTCCCCAGAAAGATCTTCCACCCACACTAAATGCCCTTCCTACCATGCATCTTACACAGTAAGCTCTTGCTGACACTATATGGTACGCCAGCTTTCAATAGCGTTCATCTGAAGATAACATACACCATTTCATTTCAACAAACACATGAGGACAGGCACGTGCTAAGAAAGACTCGAATGTGAAACACTGGACCTTAATTCTATTAGATAAATATGAAGGTCAATTATAGTACGTCAATTATAGTATACGACAAGTGCTACAGTAGCAATGTGAACAAGACATTCTGAAAACACTCAGAGCAGAGAAAGTGTGTCTTTCAGACTGGGTAAAAATGAGCACTGGGATTTTGATGGAATGCATTAAAGGCATGCATTACAAGATACAATGTACTATGCCTAGAAAGTAGGGGAAAATGCTTCCTATCGAATAAAGTAAAAACACATTACTACATATGCGAACAGGAGATCTGAGTTCAAGGTTAAACTGATTCATGCGGCCACGAACTACTTCTGAGCTTCAGCGTACCCGTGGAAATGTGAACACTACTACCGACCTGCCCACCTCTCAGAACTTTTACAGGGGCCAAATTATGTGAAACTCAGAAGTCTTGCACTTCTAAGCAACCCGGTGGGTCTTTCCCCTAAACTGCTGCTCATAAAAACCTCACCCTTCAGGAAGTAAATATTCCAATGACATCATTCATACACTTCCTAGGACACTGTAAACAGTTAACATCACACCTTCGTGTTCACACATCAAACCTCTATTGAGATACATAAATACGCGTGTAGTTTTGTTTTGTTTTGTTTTTAATCCTCAGACACTGCCTTAGAGCCAATGCTTATTATATTTAGAAACTAGAATGAAATGCAGGTTTTCTTCTGGAAGTTTTCTGTCAAAAATTCCATTCCATGTGGCCAAGCAAGCAACCCAAGAACAGACAGAGAGCAAGTTGGCAGTCACTTTGCTCTTGTTTTATGTGAACTATAGATGCTGCCTGCCAGCTATAAGCCCCTCTCTCCCAGAAGTTACCTGTTTTGGTACAAGCATAGTTGCAAAAGCCATGAGTAAAGAAACATGAGCACACTGAAAACCCTGCCGAGTTTCTGATTTTAGAAAACTTGAGGGCCACAACCGCCCGCTCCTCCCATGAAATTACACTCATTTCTTTCGAAGTTTGACAGGGTGGACTGCCCAACCGCCTCTCTTGAAACTGCATCCGGCCCCACTGTATTCAGTAAAGCCTAGCGTCGGAGCCACCGAGATGAGGCTGAGCTGAAGTTTCAACGTACAAAGCCAACGAGGGGCAAGACAGGGGAAGGGGTGCGGGGGTGAGGTCCCCGTGCCACCCTGGACGGGCGCCGTTTCATCTCCTAAGCCAACTTCCCGTTTTCTCCCTCTTACCTTATACACTTTCCCAAAGGCTCCGTCGCCCAGCTCTCCTATAATCTCCCAAAACTCTTCGGGGTTCAGGTCTCTCTTCACGTGTTCGTACTGCTTTTTCTTCTTCTCGCTGCCCAACTTGAAGATCTTACGGAAATTGAAGAAGGACATTTTTCCTGCCCAGCAGAGTCCCTGGCACTTAAAGGGCTAGGAACAATACAAAGCAAAGTTTGTGGCGCGTCGTCTCCCGCGCGAGCCCGGGGTCCGGGCCGCTCCCGCCTGGCGCTCCCCGGAGAAGGCGGGGCAGCGACCGGGCTCCGGCCGCGGAGGGGGGCGCGCGGCCGCTGCGAGCCGGGACGGGCCGAGCGGCGCCGTGGACACCTCGCTCGCGGGCCCGGGGGGGGGGGGCTGCACCTGCCCGGCGCTCGTCCCCGCCCCGCCCCGCACCCGGCCGGGCCGCACCGGGCCGAACGGCGCGGACGCCCGCGGCCCGCGGAGCCTTAGGCCCGTGTCACGGCGCGTCTCCCAGGGCGGCGGCCACTCCGGGCCGGGAAGCGACGGGCGCCCGCGAGGCGCGCAGCGGCGAGGCCGAGCTGTCCCGCCGGGGCCCCGCGTCCGCTCCGAAGCCGTCCGCTCCCGCTGCGCGAGGCCCGCGCGTCCCCTCGGCTCTGGGGCGCCGCCGCTCCGCTCGCTGCTACAGCCCACACAGCCTCGGCCCGCAGCGCGCGCGGACGCCGACGCCGACTCGCAGCGCGCCCCCGCTCTCCGGCCGCGCGCGCGCCCCCCCCCGCTCTCCGCGCGCTCGCGAGGGCGTACCCTCCGGCCCCGCGCACGCGCGTTGGGTCCGCTGGGCTGGCCGCGGGGCGGCTCGCCGGCGCCGGCGGCGGGAGGTGTGATGGATGCTTGAGCGCTTCCATCCGCCACCAGTGCTCGGTGCGAGTTGACCTCCCTCCCGGAGCCGCCGAAACCGAGGGGCTCTCGGGCGACGCTGGTGAGGTCTCCACCGGCACAACCCTGATGATTGCGCCGGCGGATGTTGCCTCATTCTCCATAGGGGGAAGTGGGGAAGCGGGAGAGCAGGCTGTGCTTGTTGGTGGTGCCTGAAAGTGGGCAGTTTCTGCTCCAGAACCGGCACCCGAATACAGTGAGGGGGGACAGCCGGGAACCTGGGCTTTCAGTCACAGTTCAGTGGCTTTGAATAGAGCATCAGACTCCGGATTGCGATAATCCCGGTATTCCTTACTGTTGGTTGAAGAAGGCTGTGGCTTAGTTCAAAAGAGACAATAAATGGGAAGCCTTTGCACGGTGCCTGCACCAGCAAAAGCTCAATCTTGAACTATGCCAAGTGTGGAGGTAATCGGTCACAGGTTGTAAAAAACTGTTTAAAGGGTAGGTGTGGTGGAGCCTGGGGGAGGCTGAGGAAAGAAGATCACAAGTTCGAGACTACCCTGGCTACATAAAGAAACTCTGTCTCAAAAAGTAAAAAGGAATTTGTTTAAGATGCTTCGGGAGTGGTGACACTCCCATAAGGGTAACCTCTGGGCCACCTCCACAGCCAGAAAACTGGTGCCGCCCTTTGGTGACTCTTACCTGAGCTAATAAGTCTCGAGATTCCAGATCTGCTGGGGCTTTGTGGGTGTAGCCCGGAGTTTGTCAAATGATTTACTTCCCCTCCTCCACCTGACCTAAGCCGGTTCAGGGCAGAGGCGGGGTCGTGCATCAAGGTGTCCAAGGGCAGGGCAACATTCCAGGATGGGAAGGAGTAAAAAACAGATCTGGTGAATAGAACAGGGAATGAGTGAATGGTCCTCATGCAAACGCTTTAAAATTAAAAGAATAGGCATGGCCAAAAGATGAAGCCTATGAGTATGAAGCAACTTGGGAAGAGGTTGATAAAAAAGCTCTAGAATTTGGGGCTAGAGAGATGGTTCGGCAGTTAAGAGCGGACCCACGTTTAGTTCCCAGCTCCCACCTAGTAACTCACAATGACCCATAACTCCAGTTCCTGGAGATCCAACGCCCTCTACTGATCTGCATAGGCAGATCACACACACACACACACACACACACACACACGCACGCACGCACGCACGCACGCACGCATGCACGCACGCACACACAGTACATTCAAGCAAAACACTCATCACATAAAAATAAACCTAATTTTAAACAAGTTATAAAATGCCAAGGGCAGGACAATTAAGAATATAAAAGCAGCCGGATGTAATGGTACACCACTTTGATCCCAGCACTCATGAGGCAAAGACAGGTTAATCTCTGTGGGTTCGAGACCAGCCTGGTCTACAAAGCAAGTTCCAGAACAGCTCGGGAAACACACACACACACACACACACACACACACACACACACACACAAAGAATCCAAGACCAGCCTGGGTAACATAGTTGAATCCTGACCCTACCACCACCCAAAAATAATGGTTGTACACTGGATAAGTTTACTACAACATCACTGGACTGTACTTTACAGAAGGGGAATGTTATGGTATGTAAATTATAACTTCCCTAAAGATGTCTTTAATGAGGAATTTTTTCTATGCATGTATACTGTTTTTGAAAATTGTAAAAATGGCATCATCTTGTATTGATACCATATCTACATGTTTATATTTATACTCAAAGTTTGGCTTTCCCGAACTTTAATGTTATTTGTGAGTGTGTGTGGATGAGTGTGTGCCACATATGTGTGGGTGCCCACAGAGACCAAAACTCAGGCCCTCTGGAAGAACCCATAGTGCTCTTAACCAGTGAGACATCTCTCCATCCCCTTTCCTGATTTTCTAGAACTTTAAAGGTAAATTTTAAAAAGATTTATTTATTTATTGTGTATACAGTGTTTTGCCTGCATGTATGCTTGCACACCAGAAGAAGGAACCAGATCTCATTATAGATGGTTGTGAGCCACCATGTGGTTGCTGGGAATTGAACTCAGGACCTCTGGAAGAACAGCTAGTGCTCTTAACCTTTGAGCCATCTCTCCAGCCCTAAAAGTAAACTTTAACCAGTGACATGTATTCATTCAATACACAATTTGGGGTCCTATTTACACACACACACACACAAAAAAAAATTTCATCAAAGAATTAAGTGTAGTACTACCTTCACAAGTTACCTAGTAACTCCCTCTGATAAGGGGATCCTTAAAAATATTTAGGAGAGGAAAAATGTAGCAATAAAATGACTCCTAATGACATTATACTCCCAGATCAGTGCCTTGTGCAGACAACATCAGAGAATCTTACTCCTGCAGCAGATGGGAACAAATACAGAGACCCACGGTCCACCCCCCCATGCAGAAAAAGAGACCTTGGAACACTCAACTCTAAATATGGTGGTATCTGCATCAAACCCTTCCCTCCCCTCAGAGCTCAGGGAACCCAGTAGAAAAGCAGTCAGAAAGAGTGTAAGAGCCAGAAGGGAATGAAGGACACCAAGGAATCAAGGCCTTCTGGACATAACAGTGCTGGCACACACATGAACTCACAAAGACTGATGATCATGTGCAGAACACCCAGGGTCTGCTCCAGCTCGGGTCCTAGAGCCTAAAGGAGAGCTGGACACATGCCCTCATCACTAACCCAGAATCTGTCTGCAACTGTTAGCCACATGCAAATGAAAACTTAGTTCCCTCCAAAGCAGTCTCACTGGGGAAACAAAGGGCTCTAGGGGTCGGCTGCCACCCAACAGAAAATGAATTCAAGGGCATCTATGGTGGCTCCCTATCTCATAACGTCATGTTGGGGCTCTTTGTTTTGGGGGTTACTTTATCTTATTGCTTTCTATTTTTATTTTATTTATATTTTTCTTCTCTCTTTTTACCCTACAGGTTACTTGTATATATATTATATATGGCTTCCAGCTTAGTGTATTTATGGGATTCCTGAGTGTGAAAATGAGTGGGTTTCTGTTTCTTGTGCCTTCTCTTGGGCTCTTTCCCTTCTGTTTGTTTTGTCCAATTCTGATCTTATTGTATTATATTTTATCTTATTATTATCCCATAGAAGCCTGTTTATGCGCAAATGAGAGACAGAAAGGAGATGAATCCAGATGGGTGGGGAGGGGGAGAGAGAGGAACAATCATAATCATATTATGTGAGAAAAAATTATTTTCAATCCAAGGAAAAAATAAAAATAAAAACGAATTCTAAAACAGACACAGCATAGAGCAAGTGTTTACTGCATAGCAGGGCCTAAGTAGCTTGTACCCAGCATCTTTCAATGCTGGCTTTAGTCAATCTCTCTGACCCTATTCAGCGCTGGCCAGAGTCCCACTGTCTACTTAGGTCATAATGTATTGAAGCATTTCTCTATTGTAGGCATTCAGGTGGTTTCCAGTATTTTGTCATCATGAACACTACCCCAGGGAGCATGCAGACACAAGTACCTTTGTGTGTTTGTCTGATTGTGTTTCCTCAAGATTTAGATTTGATAAGACAAAAACTGTTTTAAACTAACTTTGAAAAGTATGACTTATCCTAATTTCTACTTCTATCAACAGTACAGGAGTGGGCCAACTACACTGTACCCTCAACAGTGTACCACAGTCCCATGCGGCCTTCCTTTGATCTGTGCCAGACTGACAGCCCAAAATAACCTCTTGCTTAATTTACAACCCCCAGATCATTGGTGAATCACGCCTTTTCAGATGTGTTTGGCGACTTGTGTTTCCTATTCTATAAATGATCTCTTATCAAAGAAGAATACCAAATGATTTTGTTAGTATTAATGAGATTATAAAGTTTGACATCCTTTGGTGATGTGTTCATGGAGTTCGATAATAGCTTATACATTTCTACCTTGAAGTTATGAGATGTCATTTAGACTGATTTCGATCTTCTGTTAGTAAACTATTCTATCTACGTGTTTGTGATCAAAGTTTGACTTCCCTGTATTTTTGGACATTTAAAAGTATATTTTAACCAGTCATCACATATTCACCTAATACACAATTTCTGGCTCCATTCTAACCTCACTGAAGAGGTTAGTAATTTACCTGGTAGCTCTCTCTGACAATAAGGTTATCATTAAAAATAGACACTTGGCATATGGTGAGTGCTTATTTACCACACAGCTGGCAATTGCTAAGTGGTTTGTGAACTTCATTTTAATGTCATACCAAAGCTGCTAGGTGCTGTGTGAAACATGGAAAACTGGAACAGAGAGCTCAGCTCCTTGCTTATGGTCTCATGGATAATAATGGAAATCTGCATTTCAATGCAGATCTTGGCAAGCCTATCTAATATTGAAAACTCCACGAAGATGCTCCCCTCGACCTCACTAAGATTTTATAATAACTTCCCGATTATTGCTACAGCTTGCTTTCTCCTCCCCTTCATAACTCCACGAAGATGC